TTTTTTTTTGCAATTATTTATGAATATCTATAATGAAATGAAAATTTGTTGACGAAAAGTAGTTCTTTTGTGCTTTAGTGGTCTTAAACTTTTAATAATAAATTAGAATTTTTCATCATTGTAAATAAATCCCTTGCCATTCATTTTATTTATTCTTTTGGTAAGAAATAATTCCCAAATGTTAAAAAGTCTTCATAAATCGGTGCATGAATTCATATAATATAATTAATTTAAATTTAAATTTTAAAGCTGCCTTACATCTATATTATGGGGCATAACAGCCGAGTGGCTAGCGCTCTGGAGCTCGGTGCTACAGGTTTCAGATTCAAGGCGGTGCCACGGTTGTTTGTAATGGTTTGGAATCCACTTTAAGTCATGGTTAAATATCTACTGTCTCGTAATATGCTAGTTAGCAGACGGCCTATGCCTATCAGGGGACTGTTGCACCAATGAAGAAGAAGATTACATTTGTATTAAAGATCAATTTAAAATTGTTTAAATTCCTGATTTTCTTTTACATCCATTCTGCCATTAAGCAATAAATATCATAATAATATTAATTTATAAAGCAAATTAAAAAAGCTTATTGTTAGCATTATCATTAAAATGTCCACAACCGCATAGGATATGATATTTGAATTATTACATTTGCTTATTTCTTTAAAATTGTTTTAAAAAAAATGTTGCCGCTATTATAAACCTAAGATCCCTATCTAGTATACTTTCCTGTTATAACAAAAGCCTATTGTTTAAAAATATTTTCTTTGAGTGTATAATATATTTTAAAGATCGAAATTGAAATTTATAAACATATTTTTTACAGCAGATTATTTTAATCTAATCAAGTGCAATATTTCTTTTGTATCAAAAATAGTTTCATAATGGTGGTAATCTATATCAATGGATTGAAAATTTAAATTTAAAAATACTTATTGTAAATAATAAGATTCAATTATTCAATGGCTTAAAAATGCTTAATGTATGAAAAAATCATGTTTTTATTTATAAACAAAGTCTCTTTAGGTTAATTTTTATAACCATAATGGATGACAAAACTTTATTTGCAACACTTTTATTCTCACTGGTGTTTGCTGACACCGTCTGTCTAGACAGTGTTCAATTTTCCTACATTTAAAGTCTTGTATTTCCTGAAAAATAAATAAATTAAATAATAATTTTCCTGAAAAATAATAAATGGGAGAAACAAATTTTGCATACTCATACCCCAGACAAAATTTTGTTGAAAATACCAGACAATTTTATTAACTTCTTAAATCGTTAAATTAGCTGGAATTATCAGCTTTGGCAACACAGTAAAAAACATAAACAATTAGAAATCATTTTAAATATTACTAATCACTAAAAATATTAAAATTATCATTTGCATTCAAATAAGTAATCCCAACTCTCATAAGTAATGCAGTATAATTTATTTGTTGTAATATAAAACAATTTTTAATTAATTGAGAATCGCAAATTGGTAAAGAATTGAACAATTTGTTTCAATACTATTTTTACATTTGATATATCTTGTAGCTAAATAAATTAATTGAGCCATGCAAAAATTTTGATTATTTTTTGTTGAATTAACTTTTGTGATATACTTTTCGTTAAATTAGCTGAATTATCGCTTTTGGAAAGATAGGAAAAAAAAAACATAAACAATTAGAAGTCATTTTAAATATGACTAATTACTAAAAATATTAAAGTTATCATTTGCTGTTCAATAAATAATCTCAACACTTATAAGTAACCCAGTATATTTTATTTGTTACAATATAAAGCACTTTTTAAATAATTGAGAATCACAAATTGATAAAGAATTGATCAATTTATTTCAATATTATTTTTTCATTTGATATATTTTGAAGCTAAAATAAATTAATTAAGCCATGCAAAAATTTTGATTAATTTTTGATGAATTAACTTTTATGAATATTTTATAAAGAAATTTATACTATTTATTTTCCGGACAGGTAGTTAAATTTAAACGAAGCAAAATAAAAACTTGCAAGCTTTTAAGTTGTCAGCATCTGAATAATAGTTATTTTGAAATAAAAAAGCACAAATAAAAATTATCAAAATAATATATTGCATGTTTTAAAGGCAAACAGTAATCAATTGTTGTATAAAGGTAAATAAAAATATAAACTGATGTAAATAAAAAATACTTTAGATTTTAAGTACTTAAAAAAATGCAAAAATTATTAAGGGCTAATGAAGTAATTAAATATTCGTAGCTGTAAGCAATTAATCAAAACCTTCTCCTTAGTAAATTCATTATCATTTTTTACAATGCTGTGATTGTTTTTAATATTTAATAAATTTCATTTCTTGTTACAGCTTATTTTACTTATTTTTTTTCTCTTTCTCAGCTTCCAAAAATTTTTTAATTATAAATAACTTTGTCACTTACATCACATGAAATTTATTTAACTACATGCCATAAAATTTCTTGAAAAAAAGAACTGATAGAGATATTTAAGAAACAATTTTTACTCGTTTTTATTTATAAGAAAATTTAAAAGAGTAGATAACAAAGGTAAAATTTGTACTTGAAATGGCCTTTTACAATTATTTATTCCATTCTTATTATGCGACTCTTACAATGTGACTATTTTTAATCCTCAAATTAAATTAATCTATTTTCGGAATTTTTAAAATTATTGGCTAAAAATTTCACTAATGATTACAATAGAAACTTAAATGTTTTCGACTGCATTTATTTTTAACTAAAATGGGTTAAAATTTAGTTAAAAATAATTTCAATTTATAAAAAATTAATGCAATTTATGATCATTATTTATCATGATTACCTATCATAAAAATTGTGCTTTTTAAAACAGTTAAAGGTTAGTAAAATGATGTAATAACAAATAATTAGGTAGAAGAATATGAAAATGAGGTATATTCATATTTTTTAATTTCAAATTTATGGATCCAAAAAGTATTAATTTGAAAATAATTATTATCATTTATATATGCAAGCAAAACATGGTAGGAAACAAATTATTTTCATTATGTATTTTTTTTATTAAATTTTATATCAACAATATGGAAATATACTTGAACTAACATTCCTATAATATTTTCAAATAATTTTAATATTTTTTTTAATATTTAATAATTATTTCAAAGTTTAAATGCACTTGTTTAAAAAATTCAAATCAGTTTTTTAAAATTATTATCCAAAAACTACTTTGTGTAAAATATTAAATAGACTATTTTTCAAGAAGCGTAATTAATAAAATTAAATAAAAAAAAATTTAAAAATTAAATAAAAAAAAGATATCAATATCCCATATGTGTGTCCATTGTATTAATGAAAAATTGGTAGAATTTTCTTAATTTCGTAAAATTTAAGCATTTTCTTTTCCATTTTTAATTTTCAAAACATTATATCAATTTCTGTAAAGTTTAATTGCTTAATAAATTAAAGAGTGAATAAAAATATTTAAACTACTAAGTATGCATTTTTTAAAGTAATTTTTCATCTGTTAAGCTAAGTATTTATAAGAAAAAAATTAATTAGCTTAAATTGCAATTAGATGCAATGACGTCTACTTCCTAATTAAGTCTGACTTTTATTTTAGACGTTAACTTAGTATGATGGAAAAGGAAATGTTATTTTTTCATTACTTCATTGTTTTAAATCTAATTCCTAGAATAATAATTTTTTTCACTTTTATGAATTGAATTACGTTACTGACTTATTTTTTGAATTACGCTTAAATGTGTGGGACAAATTTTCAAATGAATAATTATTAATCTCTTATTTGTATTTCTGGTAACAATTATTTGTTAATATGTTTATCGTAACTTTCAGATTATTTAATACACACTGAGTTTTCTTAGAACATAAATCATAATTGAATATGGGGATGGATTATTTTCCTTTATTTATTAAATTTCATTTGATGTTAATGTACTATAAGAGTATTGTTTAAAAAATATACCCCAATATTTGCACAAATATTGTGCATCTTACCAATCCATTAAATGTGTAATCCATCAAGTATTTGACCATAAGATTTATAAATATAATTTTTAAAAATCATAAATAAAAGATATTACCTTTTAAAGAAATTTGTGATACAAATATTAATTCAGGAATATTATAAAATTCTTTAAGCACTATATTTCTTTAACGTTTAATGTTATGATTTAATTTTTATTTCGAATATACTTTTTTTTTCCAAAAATAGCACAGTGATAAATAGTGTTATTTCTTTTTTTCCCCCTAATTTAAATAGAATATATTTAACGCAGTATCCATTTTTATTCAGTTATCTTCTCTACAGTTACCAAATTCTTTCTTAACAACAGATAATACAGGATAAATAATAATACCATATACCGTCTATACTCTTTTTTTTATGTGTACAGGAAATTTAGTTTCAGTCATTCGCATAGATACATATGTAACTATTGTAATAGTTATTATTTAACACTGTATCAAGAATATATTTAACAAGGTATCTATTTTTATTTAATTATCTTCTCTGCATTAATCAAATTCTTTCTTAACAAGAGCTAATATTTGATAAATAATAATACCATACACCGTCTATACTTTTTTTTATCGCACAGAAAACTTGGTATCAGTCATTTGCACAGATACAGCATATATGTAGCTAAATTACTATAGTTAACATGGTATTCAGAATATATTTAAGACGATATCCATTTTTATTCAATTATCTTTTCTACAGTTACCAAATTCTTGTTGTTGTTTCTTATCCCACTTGGCTGGCCAAGCCCACGAGCCCATATGGACTCATGATTGAAGGGGAAGGAAGCAGCTTCTGTTGTGATGGAGCACCTCGTAGGTAGAAGCCTGACTTTTGCTCCGTGACGCTCTTACAGTCATAGAAGACCGGGACCTACGGCTTAAAGTGGATTCCAAACCACTACAAACATCCATGGCACCGCCGGGATTCGAACCCGAAACCTGTGGCACCGAGCGCTAGACACTCGGCCATTCAGGTCCCAAATTTGCCAACGGCACGCAGTGTTCCCAGGTGGTCACCCACCCAAGTACTGACCGCGCCCAATGATGCTTAACTTCGGTGATCCAAATTCTTTCTTAACCAAAGCTGATATAGGATAAGTAATAATAACATATGCCATCTATACTTTTTTATTGTACAGGAAACTTGGTATCAGTCATTCGCAACAGATAACAGCAGATATGTAACATATTCAAAGTTAATAAAATGCAAAGCAAGGGAATTTTTGCATCGAAACAAATATGAGTTCTATATTTGTCAAAGCATTAGTTACATTCAATTTATTATCATCTTTGTCAAAAGTGATATATCAAGGCAAAAGTGACATAGCTTTAAAATTTCAATTCATTGCTTTTAATATTTAATGTCTTTACACAGTAGATGATATAGATACTTATTATTTATATATCATCTTCATGTTCGTTTTAATAAATAACAAAATGGAATTTTTATCTACACAAGATAGATAATATGGTATTTTTCCATTGAAGAAATTATGAAACCGATCTAAATTGTAAAAGCTGCAATTCTGCTATTCGTATTGTTATTCAGAGAACTTTTCAGGCAGAACTTAAATATATTTTAATAGCTTCTTATTATTTAATTAAAAGAAACAATAAGAAACTAATAAAATATAAATAGTTTCCTAAATGCCTAAACAAGGTGCTTAAAGTGTCGATTGTGTTTAAATCATGATTTCGGGTTCGTTTACCATAGGCAATTTAAATGGTGGATTGACATGCTCTACTGAAGATTGTCTTAGTGCAGTCTTGTTGTAATCTGATGGTTTTTTTGATTTTTCCACATATAAACACAAATTTTAAATCAAATTTCTCTAATATTGAACAATTTATTCCAATTTTTTTTCTTGTGGATTTAATGTAGCACGAATTCCAAATTAATAAGATGTATGCAATAAATTTATGTAATTGGTGAATGATCTCTGGCCAAGCAAAGTATTTAATATATATCTTATTATGAAAATCAAATTTCAGTTATTATTTTAATATTTGTTTTGTTATTCTTCTTATTTCAACATCTTAAAATGAAAACGCATCTGATTATTATGTGAAAATGTATAGAAAAAAAAAAAAAGAAAATGTATAGAAGAAATATTCATTAACTAATAAACTTTGAAATATTCATGGGGAAAACATTTTTAGATTATTACCGAAAAAAAAAATCTAAGATATAAATTTACAAATGTTGAATAATTTTTTTTAACTACAATTACAACTTTTGTTTTCAAAAGCTCTTTTTTACACAAATTACTTTTTTATGTTACAAATTCTTGAATATTTCGTAACATAAAAAATTCTTTCTATCTATTCAATAAATTATTTCACCAGTAAAGGAAATGTTAAATTTATTTTACTTGAATCTTTTAATCTAAAGTAAAATGCATGATTTCCAATAGTTTGATTAAGTGAATGATTTTGCAATTATTAAAATATAGCAAATTAGAGCAATTTCATTTAAATTCTTATAATTTTGCATCAAAACAAAAATAGTTTGTTTGGAACATGAAAACTAAAACGAACATAATGTTGCCAAATATTAGAAATAAAAGAAAAAAAACAATTATGTATTTCTTTATAATTTAAAAATAACCACACATTTTCCAAAAATTAATTCTATTTCCTAAAAATAAACACACATCTGATTACTGTTGTTCAAAACTAATAAATATGGCAAACTCAAAAAAAAAAAAAATTAATAAATATGGCAAACTTTTTATTTACTGCAAGCATTATTTTAAACTGATTAGAAAATATGGATTTCTTTTTCACCTTATTAACTTTTTTATAAGATTCCTTTAATACATGATTTTAAGTTAAAACATTAAAATAAGAATTAAGGATTTGAAACACAAGAATCGAAAGTTGTAAAAAATGCTTGAAAAAAGTTTGGGTTTAAATCAAAAACAGATTTCTCCTAGAACCAAAAAATAATAAACAAAATAAATAAACATTATTAATTAAAGGGCGAATCTACTTTATTTTGTGGACAAAAAAACTATTTAATCCTAAATAAAGCAACATGAAAACTCTCCTTACCCTCAACAGGAAATAAGAAAAAAAAAAATCCTTCTTAAAAAAGAGGTGGGGGATAGAACCCCAAGTTTTCACCTTGTGCAGCGATGTAGGGGTTTCTTATACACCTGCTCAAAATAATAAATGATAATCCCTTGAGATAGCGACCTCGGCCCTGACTTCCATTGGTTCTTTATAAATGTATAACAAATAAAATTTAAAAAATGTATAGAAAGGGAGAACCCTGAACTCTAGTCCATACCATTTTCTGTATAATAATATATACTTTTGGATGATACCATTGTGTGATTTAAATATTAAATTATTTAATCACTGCATTTATATTAAATTGATAGATATTAGTGTTATTAACTGGCACGTCATTGTTGATGACAAATACTACATTATCATAGTGAAATCTACATTATCATGGTGAAATCTACATTACTACATGGAGAAATCTTCAACAATTTATGAATAAATATTTTCAGAATTGGAAAAGAGCAAATATAGAGTTATTTAATTTTTGTATTTAGTCATAAATCTCACTAACTAATGATAATGGGATTTATTTTTAAATATGATTCCAAAAATAATTTATTAAAATTTTTTTTGTTATTGGTTAAGTATCTTTCATACTTTTATATTATTGTTAAACTTGTGTTCTTGTTTTTTTATCCCAAGTATGAATGCTATTTGATTCGACAAAAGGACTGTCATCGTTTATTATTCTACAATGTAGGGCATCTACAGATACCATCTATAAATACCATACATATATGCATGCCATATATATATAGATACATAGCATCTACAGATACCATATATAGATATATGGCATCTGCAAATACCATCTATAGATACCATACATAGATGCAGATATAATCATATTTCTATAAACGCATACATAGATGAATTCAAAGAAACAATTTGGATCTTCTTATTCTACCAATAATTTTTTTTTAGCACAATAAAAGTTGTTAGCACCATAAAAGAATCCTTTCTATATTAAAATCTTCTGAATTCATTTCTATCCATCTCTTAATTTGAATATTCAAATACATTGATAATTATATTTACATTTTTTTCTTTTTCTTTTTTTTTTTACATTTACATTTTTTGAGTTTTTTTTTTTATATTAAAAAAAAACATGCATATAACCCTCCCCCCCATATTTCGCTTTTTCTTCTCAATACAATCAACATAATTATTATCTTGTAATTATATCGTTATATAGCATAAGTTGTGAGACGAAGAAATAGAACCATATACTAAAAAAGAAATATACGATGAAAAAGTTCATGTTCGGTTTGTATCCTCCTTATGCATGACCCCTTACGTATGCCATAACAACCCGCTGACTGTCGATAAGGGAAGTATATTTCTTTCCAGGAGGACTTTTAAGAGTAACTGCCCACATTTGCTTGTTGTATGAGAAAAAAACTCGGAAAATTAAACTAGGCAGTCTAACTATTGATGAGAGACACTTTACGTACTATGTATGTCACAATAGCCATCAAATCTCCTTTTCCTGACAGCAGAAGTTTCACCGGACGCTACGAGCGAATTCGAACCTGGACCCTCCTGCAAGCAAGCTGCACACGTTATTGCTGGCCTACGAATCGATCCACAATTACTGTTGTAATACGAAAATTATAGGATGTAATCTAGTATCCTAGTGTTTATGTATGCAGCTAAGAGTCCCATGATATGCGATACATTACCTTCAAGGAGGACTTTTATAAGTAAAAACCCAGCATTTGAGTGTCGTATGAAAAAAAAAAATCCAAAAAACCCCAACAAAGTAGGCTGATTATCGATACGAGACGCTTTACAAACGTTGTCATTGTCGCCATCAACTCTCCTTGTTTTCAATAGCAGCGACTGATGCGGATGCCACTAGCTGATTCGAACCTGGACCTTCCTGCACACTAGTAGCCACGTTACCAATGGAAACAAGCCAGGCATTACGTGGGATTTAAATGTTAAATTTTCAACAGGGGTAATTCAATGGAATTAAAATGAAGAAATGATTGTAAATAAGATAAATTAAATACACAATTTTAATTAACTGTATTACAAAACAAGTTTTATCTCACCCACTATATTTTAATTTCTATTATTACCATTAAAAAAAACATACTACTTTTCAAGACTTTTTCAAGACAAAAAAAAAATTGATACGATGTGTCTAAATGATCATCACAATGACAGGCTACTGGCCTTCAAGATGTTAATAATTAATAAAATCTTTAATATATATATATACTTAGTTTTTTTTATTTTCTTTTTACAATAGTAATTCAATTCACAAACAAATCTTCAAGTACACTGCTTACGAAAAATCTCAATTTGAATTGTGGTTTATTTAAAAACAAAATAAAAAAAAGAAAAGAAATGTAACAAATCAAAACAACGAGAAAACCGAGTAAAAAAAAAAGGGGGGGAGGGGTATCATATGTAAATTAGTCTCTCAACTCACAGCACAAGGAATGGAATGGAACTTGAATGGAATTAAAATGAAGAAATGATTGTTAATATAATTTAAATACATAATTTTAATCAACAGAGTTTCAAATCAAGATTTATCTCACCCTCTATACTTAAAGTTCTATTTATATAAGTATTAAAAAACATAGCATACTACTTGTGTGACTTTTTCCGGAAAAAATTGGTATGACATATCTAAACGATCATCATAATGAGAGGCGACTGACGCTTTAAGACGTTAATAATTAATAAAAACTTTAATATATATATACTCAGTTTTTTTTTTTTTTTTTTTTCAGTAATAATTCCCTTCACAAATCTTCAAGTGCAAAGCTTACGAAAAAATCTCAATTTGAATTATGGTTTATTTAATAAAATAAAAAAAAGCAAATGAAAGAAATGTAACAAATCAAAACAGCAAGAAAACTGAGAAAGGAAAAAATAAAAAAAGAAAAATTGGGGGGGATTGGTACGAATTATCGAAATAAGCATCATAATAAGCGGATACTGGGCCTTCAAGATGTTAATAATTAATGAGTTTTAATAT